CAGCTCAGTATAGTCCAGTGCAGCTCATTACAATGGGGAAGAGTCCAGTATAGCTCATTACAGCTCAGTACAGTGGAGCAGAATCCAGTATAGCTCAGTACAGTGGAGCAGAATCCAGTATAGCTCAGTACAGTGGAGCGGAGTCCAGTATAGCACAGTAGAGTGAGGAAGAGTCCAGTATAGCTCAGAATAGCTCAGTACAGTGGAGCAGAGTCCAGTATAGCTCAGTACAGTGGAGTGGAGTCCAGTATAGCTCAGAATAGCTCAGTACAGCCCAGTAGAGTGGGGCAGAGTGTAGAACAGCCCAGTAAAGCTCAATACAGTAAGGCAGAGTGCACTACAGCTCAGTATAGCTCTAGTAGGACAGAGTACAGTACAGCACAGTAGGACAGATTCCAGTACAGCTCAGTGTAGAGCCAAGGAGAGCCTGGTGTCAGGAATTCAGTTTCTCTCTACACTACGGTTTAGCACATTCACTTCTGGCAGAAAAAGAGAAGAGGCGTTATCCTGACAGCTCCTTCAGTAACTCCGAAAGCAGGCTGAAGTGGGTCAGTGCTGACAGGGCAGTCCAGGCGGCTCTCCGGCCCGGTCCAGTCAGAGGGGGCTGGCGTGTGAATGGGCTGACGCAGACTCGTGTTGCAGCAGTGAGCGAGATGCATTTTTAAACAGCTGCAATTCTTAACAGTTCCCACAGTGCCCCGCGGCTGGCAAGTAGGGCAAGACACTGCTGTTCCGCGCAGCAGCTCCTGCCTCCTGACCGCTCTCCAGTGCCCACAGCCCCAGCCCAGAGAGCCCTGCAGAGGGGTGCTTCACAGAGACTGACAGAGAGAGACAACAGGCACAGAGAGAGACAGGCGTACAGACACAGACAGAAGACAGGTGCAGAGAGAGACAGGCAGGCACTGAGAGAGACAGACACAACAGAGAGAGACAGGTGTACAGATACAGACAGAAGACAGGCGCAAAGAGAGAGACAGGCAGGCACAGAGAGAGACAGACACAATAGAGACACAAGCAGGCTCAGAGAGACAGAAAGCGCAGAGATAGAGACAGGTATACAGACACAGACAGAAGACAGGCAAAGAGAGAGACGCAGGCAGGCACAGACAGAACACAGGCAGCACAGAGAGAGACAGAGACAACAGGTTCCAATCGTACTGGGAGAGGGAGGAGGCAACTCAGTTGAACTGGCAGCCCAGTATGTGTTCTCATGTCACAGCCTGAGGAACAGTGAGTCTGTCTTCCTATAATGCTCCATATGTGTATATGTAAATATTTTATGATGTGTCTATATTGTAAATGTCTGTAAATCTCTGTTGATTTTTTTTTGTTTTATGTTAATTGTATTTGTTTTGCTTCGGCAAC